TGTCCCTTTGCCTGGGCCACGGCACTTCCCAGCCCTTTGGACCTGGTGTAGTCAGGCTCTCTGAGCTCTGGATGCTTGGTGGCTTTCGCTTGTCAAACAAGCTCTGACTGCTGCCCCTGAGGCTACTTGATACCTAGCCCTCGGACCACGTGCTGTGGAGCCCCCTAGAAAACTTGGTAAAATGTAGATGCCTGGGCCATACAATGACCCCAGAGACTTGGAGTGAGCAGGCTGCGGTGGGCCGGAGAACTTGCATTGTTAACAGGGTCCCAAGATGGTTCTGATGGTACTGGAACTAGAGAATCTCTTACATACCTATCATGGTAAAGATGGTTTGGTAGCAAAAATAAAATTTTAACTTATTTTCCATGTTTATGAGCTTGAGTTAAAGAATGATTTTCTCTCAAGAGCCTTTGGTGATCCCTGAATGTAATTTTTTTTTAATGTCAGGCTCTGAAGAGTGTGCTCTCCCTTCATTTTGAACTTTTTGTGGGGTTTTTTTTTTAGGGTTACCAACTGTCCCAGTCTGTCTGGGATCCTTCTGGTTGTATAATTTTAATTCCATGTTCAGGAAATGCCCTACTGTAGGCAAACCAGGACAACTGGTCAGCTTAGTTTGATAGAGAAATGTCTACCTAGATTTACCTAGACCTGGGAGGAGTCATTCAAAGTCCCCCCCCCATATCCCTCTGCGCAAAGTCCTCCCTACCTGCTAAGCTTGCCTTCTCTTCCCTCTGGAAATGGCCTCACAGGGTGCTCCTCTCTCCAGCTCCCCAGCAGGTACCCTCTGTCCTTTTTCTTTCTAGACAGGTATCATATCAAAAACGAGCCATGCCAACAAGCCAGGAAGTTCCACTGCCTAACCAGAGTGCTGGAGATGGAAATACCAAAGCTTCACTGAGGGCTAAGCCCTGGACTTAGAAACCAGAGCAGAAAGAAATCATCAGCTGTTGGATCACAGGGTAATAGAAAAGAAGACATATAGCAATCGCCATGGCAACTGGCCTCCAAAGGCCCCAGCACCTGTTCCTTTCTACACAAGATTTCCCCAAACAGGGATATTTCTTACTTCCTTGTTTTTGTTTTCAATAAAGATGTTAATTTTATTTCCCCTCATTTGTGCTTAATGTTCCAGTAGCAACTTACCCTCTCCTCCACTCTCCAGCCCCTCTGCATCTCTCCCAAAACTTTTCGTCCCTCCTTTCCCCATCCTTCCTTTCCCTTCTATCTCCTCTGTTTATCTGTCTATCCCCACAACTTCCTATCCCCCCAAGCAAAATTTCTAACCATCTCTTCTCCCAGGGCTAAGCCGTCACCCAGGATGTTTTATCAGCTGAAGTTCTAACAGCCTAGTAAGCTAGTAAGCATTGACCTGGGTGAAAGTTACAGGGCACTCCCCTCAAAGCCCACATCCTCTGTTCGCGTGTCTCCCAGCTGGGGTGAGGTGGGGGGCACAGTGCAGTAAGACCACTTCAGCCTACAGAGCAGATGAATGGAAAGGATAGAGAGTAATAGTAAGTTTATCAAGTGCTGACCATGTGCCCGGCCTTGTATCAGAGTCTACTATCACATTTACTCTTCATGACAATTCTGATGGCACAGGTCTTATTTATTATCTCACTTGATGGATGGAGAAATGAGGCTTAGACTGGTTAAGTGTCTTGTGAAAAGCCACACAGCTACTGAGTGGCAGAGCAAGTATTTAAATCCAGGTACTCTAGCACCCAAGCCTGCCCCTTTCATGATCACTTTCAGAAGAGGTCTGGGGAGGAAGATCCTGTCCTGACTCACTGACTGGGAATAGGGTCCAGGCAAACCCGTTAAGCAGCATTATTTGGAGGGGGTCTGGTCAATAAAAAAGTCCTAGACAATAAACACTGTCTTTTGGCTTAGATGCATGGGAGCAGTGGTGCAGAGAGAGGAGCCAGGGAGTTGAGGAACCCTTGCTGTGAGCCTCTTCTCCAGACTCTCAGCTATTGCATTCTCTCATTCTTCCATTCATCCAACATACATTTAACAAGTATTTCCTATGAAACAGGCTTGGCTCAACCTATCCATATGCATCCTTATTGTTGTGGAAAGAGTGTTGGGTGCTCGGAGCCCTTTTATGAGGGCTGGCTCTACACTTGCCTTCTCTGAGCACCTTGTAGAGGCAGAATCACTTTCTACCCAGGAAATTTCACCTGAAACAAAAGGGATCAGCACCTGCCACTCTTTAGAAGTGGGTTCTCTCAAAGCAAGGGACTCGAAGGCTCCCCATTACTTGTGCCCATTTGCCTCTCAGAGCATGCAGCTTCTTCTTTCCAGATCGCTTACATCTTGTGATTGAAGAGACCCAGCCCTCTATAGCACACAGTATTTGGATGGGACACCAATCTTCTATGTTAATGTAAAGAAAGACACAATGTTATTTTTATCGTATCATTATTATAGTGGGACGATGTGTGCCTAGGGTTGCAAGGGAGGTTGGCCCAGCAGAACAGGGATTAAGAAATGGCTCCAGTAAGGAGGTTGGGTACCAATATAGTCTAAGGAAATCTAATAATTTCTATTTCTTTCTCTTGCACTCTCCTCTCTTCTCCTATTCTCTGATTTTGCTCCTTGGTTTTTTTTTGGTTTTTTTTTTTGGGAGAGAATGAATTACTGAGTAAACAGTGGAGGAAGTAGCTTGTGTGTGCATAATTCAGCTGATTTGTGGCTTAATATAAAGGGACTCCCTTAGCCCTACTGCCGATCCTTTACTGCAGAGTAGCAACTTGGGAAGGCCAGATTGCCTGGGCCTGTGTTCTGCTGGGAAGAGCTCATGGCTACCAAGTGTGGTGCAGAGTGTAGATGTGCACATGAGTACCTGGTGGAGAGATCACAAAGAGGACTGGTTTGGGTTTTCGGTGGAAGGCTACAGTGTGATGGGGAGCAAACATCTTGGGAGCCAGTATTTCTGAAATGTACTCCCAGCTCTGCACCAAATAGCTGGATCACCTTGAGGCTGTAATTTCACCCTTTTGGTTCCTTCTGTGGCCTTCAAAAAGAGAGGATTGGATTTGATCTTTAATATCCTAGCTGTTTCTAACATTCTATGACTTGGTGGCAATGCATGAGATTTTTAGGGGGATTCTAGCCCTTCATCTTCGTTTGCACCCTGCAACTCTCTCTTCTTTATTTTTAGTCTTTCCCCTTATTCCTCATGAAATAAATACATTTTAAGCACCAAATGGAAGCCACAAGGTGTTTCTAAGCCACCTAAGAGGGCAGTCAAGGCTGCAGCCATCTCTGCTCATGACAGGTTGGGCCAAGCTTCTGCACAAAGACATTCGAGAAAACTTGGAAGTCAACTGCATTTTCCTTCTACTTAGCTCAGGCACAGAGCAGGGCTGAAGAGGTTAGGCAGCAGGGAGCAGAGGGTGGTGGAGCAGAACAGTGAAAGATCAAGCCCTTCAGAAAAAAACAGCTGCTGTGTTCATTTCATCCATGATTCATCTGGTGGCTAAAAGGATCCCCTCATCCGGGTGGACACAACTTCTCCACTAACCATAGCAAAGTTTTATTTGGAAGGAGGTATTGATTGCGGCCTGTCCACTGACCATTAATGTTGTAAGGATCCAGTTTGTTCTCACTTGACTACAGCAGTCAGTTGGGGGAGAAGCCTGCACAGCTTTGTCTCCTGGCTTCATAAACAACTTGTTTGACCTTTGGGAAAAAGGCCTATCCCATGGCCAAGCTCTGTGGAATGCAGGCTGGAAAAAGGCAGTTTCTTTCCACAAAAGCCTCTAGAGTGGCCTTTGATTCCTAAAAAAGCAAGATACTTGCCCCTTTCTCTAATTTCTATTACCTCCTGAGACCTGGGGGGGAACTGCATAACAGAATCAAGTCCCATGATGTATCAGTCATTCAGTACTTCCTATTCCCCCATTCTCCAAATGAAGAGACCTACCCTAACCCTCACTGGGTCTCAGTAGACTTCAGTTCATCTCTGGAAGATGATACTCTGTATGTGCAGCTGAGTAGAGATCTGAATAGGTACAGAGCAATGCAGAGGCCACAGACACCTAAACATTTCTTAACTAAGAACTACAAAAAGAAGCCTAATGTCATCTCTGCTTCAGTCTATCTTACTGGTTGGCTTGATTTCCACCCATTTGTAAAAATAATACACTGACGTTTAGGAAAGTGAAAGTACAATGAGCGTGAAGGCACAGGATGTGAGGCAGAGAAGACAGTATGCTGGGTCTTCGTTTTGCCATCTGTAAAAGGGATCTAAGAAAACCAATAATAGTATATCAGATTGAAACTAGGAGTTACTAAAGACACTACAATGTATCTGATAGTAGTTATGAATCCTGCCAACTTGGAATACAGAACTTTTTCTACCTCTGACCAGTTGGAAGTGCTCAAATGCCAGTAACTTCTTTCCCACAGTAATGAGAGTTCCTTCCCAATCTCCACAGGGACAAGAGAAACCTCTCAGAGTCAGGGGATGAGGAGGGCCCTTTGGTGTCATTAGAGTCAGTAGTAGACTTAGCTCTACCTCAGGATTCAACGGGTGCAATTAATATGAGCTAGACTCCCCTGGCCCTGGCCTTCCTAGTACTGATTAACAGCTCCAGGATTTGGTCTCTGGTCTTAGGCAGACCTCTTTAGTTTTAGCTTTCTCTGGATATCTTCTGATTGCTGCTGGTTGCTACTCGATCTTGAGTGGAATTTCAGTGAAATTTTTGTCAGAGTCAGAGCCACCAAAAAAGAGCCACTTCAAATTCTCCCTCTACAATAGCTCAGGATGAGCTGAGCTCTCCTGCCCATGCTTCCAGTTTCTTCCTGGGTGCTTCTCTGAAGTACAAAAATATTAATCCTTACTCCATGAATCTTCCAAATGGTCTTCTTCTACCCCATTCTACCATTTCATAGATCTGATTCTGTACATGGAAAATACTTCGGTTTCCTGAGTGCTTTTGCTTAAGGTGATGCAAGTGACCAGACTTCCCTGGCTCTGTGCCACTGCTTACCTGAAAATGTCAAGACCTCAGCATCCTATTTGTCTCTCTTGAAACTGGTCCATAATTGAGGCTGGTTGTTCTGGGTTTGCAGTTATGAAACAGCACCTGCTTTTGACTCAGCAGCGGGCTCACTGCTGTGGAAAGTGAGGGGATTACAGAACATGTTAGATGTAATGCATTGCGGAAAGGTTACAGAAAGAAATGGAAAATAGGCAGGACAGAGAAACTGGAGTTCTCAAAGCAACGCTTTCTCTTTTTATTTATTTATTTAAAATTTTTATTAAGGTATGATTGATATACACTCTTATGAAGGTTTCACATGAAAAAACAATGTGGTTACTACATTTACCCAAATTATCAAGTCCCCACCTATACCCCAATGCAGTCACTGTCCATCAGTGCAGCAAGTTGCCACAGATTCACTATGTCCCTTCTCTGTGATACACTGTTCTCCCCGTGATCCCACACATGATGTGTACTAAACATAATACCCCTCAGTCCCCTTCTCCCTCCCTCCCCACCCGCCCTCCCACACCCCTCCCCTTTGGTAACCACTAGTTCATTCTTAGAGTCTCTGAGTCTGCTGCGATTTTGTTCCTTCAGTTTTGCTTCATTGTTATACTCCACAAATGAGGGAAATCATTTGGCATTTGTCTTTCTCCGCCTGGTTTATTTCACTAGCATAATGTCCTCCAGCTCCATTAATGTTGTTGCAAATGGTAGGATTTGTTTCTTTCTTATAACTGAATAGTATTCCATTGTACATAAGTACCACATCTTTATCCATTCATCTACAGATGGATACTTAGGTAAAGCAACGCTTTCTCAGGGTCAGAAGATGATACTGCTGATGGCGCAGGAGTGGGTGGCAGCAAAAGCTGGCATGTAGCAGCAGAAACTGGCATGTGTCACCTGCTGAGGTTTGGAGTAGCCTGTGGTCTGATTAGCTGATTAGTCTCTGATGACTCTGTGGGAGTGACTGTCATTGATTAGAATCTGTCACTTTGGGCCATGCAGTGTAACTTTTGTAAAATGAACTGACCCACCCTATACAAAGAGAAGTTCAATTTGGCACCTTACACAGGGATTCCAATTATTCTGGGTAAGTGACTGTGGCTCAAAGGGCTTCATTAGAATAGTATATGTAGAAGCCACAGCCACAAATCAAAGAACAAGATCCACCTGCACTTGGGATGAAAAGAACTACTCAACATACCCCAACTTCCTCACACCCCACAGTCACACTCATGAATAACTGCTGGCAGCAGGGGCCTCATCTTCAGGTTATCAAGAAGAGCTCTGTGTGTGTGTTGCCTGCATGCACACACATGTGTGTGTTCAGACAGTTAATACTATAGGAGTGCAAGATCAAGCTAGTACACCTTTTCTAATGTTAAATTTCTAATGCTTGCCATATAAAATTTGCCAATTTAACTGTAACTATATGATGGGTATCATTAATGCAATTTAGCTTTCTGCATAATTCTACATTATGTAGTCACCAACTATATTTTTCCTTACTTCAGCATCATTGTCCCCTTGCAGCAGACATTGAATTTGTTCATGGTAAAGCCAGAAAAAAGAAAGACAGAAGAAAAAAGACAGGAGGGCAAACAGAAAGATAGGCTGAAAGAAAGACAGAAAGAAAAGACAAAGACAGAAAAGAGGAAGGAGAGAGGGAGAGAAAATCCTAAATCATTGGGGATCACTTAGAGAAGCTCCACAGCAAGAGTGCTAAGAGTGGTGATAATCCCCCAACTCTCCTAGTGAGCAAGGTGCTTGCTGGCAGCACAAATATGTGTACCCCGCCAGAGATACTCATGGAACTCAGACATGTCTATTCTGTTTAAGATTGGATTATCAGAGGATGAGCTTCTTGGGAGGGTGTCTCGCAGGTGATGATGACCTGTGTGATGTGACCAGCAGACAGATTCTGGGATGGATGGAAATGAAGCTCAGTCCTACCTGCTGAAAAATAGTCTCTTTGTTTTCTAGGCCATGTAATAAGTGCCCATCTCAAATGCTGTGAGAAGTACTCTGGCCCTGGGGCACTGCTGATGACACATGGAGAAGCTTCTTTGGGAAGGAATTAGGTTACTGCCCTACTAGAATGTAAGATACATGGGGGCACGGACTTCATCTGCTTTGTTCACTGTTGTATCTCCAGGACCTACAACACCTGGCATATGATCTGTACTGAGTCAATATCTACTGAGAGTATACATGAATTAGTAGGGTTGTGGGATCCATTCTGCACAGGCAATATGTATTCATCTTTCCAACTTCTGTGGCTTTTATGATATGCAAGGTTTTACACCTTATGTGGCATAGCTTATCACAATCCCCAAGTGAGTGAAATAAGATATTCATAAGCATGATCACAAGCAAAGACCAATTTGCTTTTGACATGATCCTATCATCCCCAAAAGACAATGCTTCAGAGTTATAAAAACCAAGAGACAAGGAGAGTCTATGCACACTCTGTGGAAACCTTAACGAAACTCTCTCACACATGTAGTGAATTGCTCTTAAGTGGCTGATAGGATAAGTAATGATTCTGAGGGTCCAGCACAGGAGAAATGGTGCATACTTGTACACTAGTCCATGCACCTTCCCTGCCTGGAGCCCCACATCTCTGTCGTCCCCTGGACACTGAACAGAGAGTCTAGCAACAGAGACAGGACTATTGCTCACTAGTGCTATCCTGGTATTGATACCTGGTTTGTTGTTGAGGACTGGGAGGAGCTCAGTAAAGCTTCTCCCAAGTTCAGATAACCCGGGCTTTGTCTTCAAAGCCCATGCCTGTAATATTCCTTAAAAAGAAGGAAGGCTCATCTGTGAAACACTGGACACAAACCACTCTCCAAAAGTCTTAGAGGAGCACTGAACATGTTAAACGAAAAACATCTGCCATTTTGTTCCTTTCTCCAGCTGCATGGAGGACTGTGAAATTCCCATGGCCACTACTACCCGCACACTCTTTGAATGTCTCCTTGAGTCTGAAGGGGAAAGGGCTTCCCTCCTCTGCCAGCAGTGTTCTCTGAGTGCCAGAAGTTGAGCCCCCAGTTTTGAGTAAACTGTCACATCCTTGGAGTTTGAAAATGACCCTTAAAAGAAAAACTCACACACAGCAAAAAGACGCAGCCTTGCAACTTGGAGAGCCAACTGAAACTCCCAAGTCCGTGTCAACAGATTTTTAAAAATACATCTGTCTTTTATTTCACCACCCTTCAACAAAAATCTTCTGAAAAATGGCTAATATTCTGGGAATTTTCCTCAGACTAGGGACACAGCCCGCCTTCTGAGGCACTCCTCAGACTGCTTTCTAATTCCATAAGTGGGATAGGCAATGTAAGGGAGTTGGATCTAGGATGGTATGCTAAATGATTCTCCAACTTTGCTCCCAAAATTAAGCACTAGAAGTCACTGAATTCACCAGCTGACCCTTGAACAACATGAGAGTTAGTGACACCAACCCTCTCACAGTTGAAAATCCATGTATAACTTTGACTGCCCCAAAACTTAACTTCTAATAGCCTGCTGTTGACCATAAGCCTTACCCCTAACACAGTCAATTAACATCAATTTTATATGTTACATGTATATTTATACACGGTGTTCTTAAAATAAGTAAGTTGGAGAAAAGAAAATATCTTTTGAAATTGCCATAAACCTACAAAATTTTTTTCCAATGTACTTATTTAAAAAAAAGTTCACATGTAAGTGGACCCACACAGTTCAAACCTGTGTCGTTCAAAGGTCACCTGTACTGCCCATCCCAACACAAACACGTTGCTTCTCAGAGTGAGGCTTCAGGAAGCCTGCTTGTCAGGAGGGCACACCTGCAATTTTCCCTGCACAGGGCTGAAATGTGACAGCCTCCCTCCTGGAATGAAACATTTATAAAAATGTGCTGAAGCCATTTTTAGCAACTCAGTAGTTTTTTCTTGATGAAACAATATCTTTCATCCTAAAAAACACTTTGTCTATTGTAGCTTCCACACAACCTCAACACAGCAATACAGCCAGTTCTCAGAGCCAATGTGGCAGCCAATTACAACACAGGAAAAGGATGTGATACATTTTGGAAGCAGGAAATTCATATACACCATAGTTTGATAAGAAGAAGAGAAAGGGGTTATGGGGCAAGGCTGGACACCACTTTGTACCCCTCCCTGACCAGAAAATGCCGAGGTCATCTTCAGAGAATGGGGCTTCCTGTTCGCACAGGAAACTTGAATGGGCACCTATCTACTCTGCTGTTTGTCAAGTTCTAGGAAAAGTTTACCCAGTTCTTTGCCTCCCTTCACCCCCTTCTGCTCCCAAAAAGTCTGCTTCCAGCACCCTGGGAAAGCTACATCCCTTCATCATGCCAGCCAGACATTTGGTCATTGCTACAGCCTCTCATCTTCCTTCCCAGTAAGCTGACCCTGCTATGCTCTTAGCACTCAGGGATGCCACGGGAAACACAGGAGGTAAGCCCAATACAATGGATCAGTCCCCAGAGGCCTATGCCTTCCATCAGGCAGGAATTCCAGATGACTGAGTGTAAGGCCAAGGCCACAGGCCTAAGGGGCATGGAATGAAAACTGCTTCCCAATTTCTCCTTATTACCATTACCTCATGCTGGCCCTCTCTCTGCATGTCAGACTTATCATTCTTGTTTAATAGAAAAATATACAGATGCACTGGGCTTGGGGAAACATCTTGGGTGCCCACGATGCACCTTTTAACCAATATTCACTGACTGCCTCTATGGTGCCATGCTCTGGGCTGAGCCCCAGGGGATTTGGTGGATATGTCTCAGCCCTCAGGGAACTGGTGGTGGGAAAGGGGAGGCAAGTAAAATAGCTACTGTAATGAAAGGTGCGAGGGTGACAGGTGCTATGAAGGAGGAAGGCAAGGGTCCTGGAGGAACACATTGGAAGGCAGTCTAACCCAGACCTGAACAGAGCAGAGGCAGTTCAAGAAATCTCCCTTGAGAAAGTGACAGTGAAATTTAGTCCAGAAGGATGATTAAGGGTGGAGGGAATGACACATGAAACCACCTGGAAGCTGGAGAGATGGGCGACTCTAGATGCAGCAGGGAAGGAGCTCAGTGACCAGACCATGCAGCGCCTTGAACTCCAGCCTG